AACGTCAAAAAAATAGTCCAGTCTCAAAGTAGCGATTTTATTCAACTTTTTAAAAATGGCGATAACTCAAAAACCGTGCATAATCGGAGAACGTAAATGATTTTATGATTGGAAATGATCCCTCTACCCTCTATAATCTAATAATTATTATAACATCTTAACTTTATTTGGACTTATTGGCGATGTAGAGCTCAAAATGAAAAAAAAAACAGAAACCCTTAGAGAACTGGTAGAGAATTAGTGTAATGCCTAGTTGATATTGTCTTAGGAAAACTAAAATAACCAGTTTTTGCACTGGAAACGTGAGTCTCTTCTTTTACAACTATTTTTTTTGTTTAATTTTAAAGCTCTGCATCTCTAATAAATCACCAGATGTTTTTGTATGTTAATTGTTACACATAATCAGGTCAACTTTGTTTGATAGTACAAATATTGTTTCTTGTTACTAGAAAATGAACGTATTATGAAATAGCAATATCTACGATTTTACTATTGTGCTCAATATGATGTCATTTCAAATATAAGTATCATTTTCAGTTTTCTGCCGACGATGCAGGAATGACACCCATAATGACTGCTGCAGAGCGAAGCAGGGGATTTATCATAGATTATCTAATTGAGAGACCTGAAATATCTATAGAAGAGAGAATTGAAGCTTTAGAATTACTTGGCGCCTCATATGCGAACGATAAAGAAAATTATGATTTGTCAAAGGCCTACATGTATATGCATAAATCTATGGAGCTAAGGTGAGAATTATTTATAACCATGGTCAGGAATAACTACATTTGAAATAACAAAGCTAATTTGCACTAAAACAACAGCGAAAAGGTAATAAGTTTGAAGTCTACAAAACTTGGGGTTGCCTAGGTCCTCTACTTTGCCAACCTCTACAGCTTGTGCATGATATAAACAAAATTACGCACCTCGGGACAGAAATATCAAAAAAAAGAAGGTCTGAATACACTCGCCAAGTATCACTAAAATCCTGAATACACTGACCATAAACTAACATCAAATTGATAACATCGTTACTGCTAAGGAAATATGCCAATTTCGGCTTTTTCAAATCCACTTATAAATTAACAGAAAGGTTAACCTGCACACCGCGTGGCACTTAATTAATTTGGATACTGACGCAATTCGTACCTTTTCACGTTGGGTGCTGGACCGGGCTGGTCCATTAAGATTTTTTTGAAAATCAATAGCTCGGTTATCTTAAAGCTTTGGTATACATGGTGATTTTTCCTCGAGGGCTTCATTAAAAAGATACGTGGTGTTGAAGTTTAAAAATAAAAAACAATTTTATTTAATATTTTCAAAACCGTCAACTGGAATGAACTAAAATTTGGTTGTAGACTTACCTAAGTATTGCCCACATTCAAAAATCATTTTCTTAAAATCAACGTGCACTAGTGGCGGAGATACATATGGGATTAGTGGCATTTTTTCCAAGTAATAAGAAAATAGTATGCCACTGTTTTTTTTTATAACGCGCATTTTTCGAATATAACCTTCACTATGCTACTAATAATTACTCTGTTTTTTTCTAGAGTACACTGTTTTTGTAAAAAAATAAAACAAATTAGATCATTGATGATGAGCCGAGATTCAATTAGTTTCAAAATAAAATAGGAGGCCTTGATACCAACTTGACGTTTCTTGGGAGATAGTTTGTCAAAGTTATGTGTTATACGGTTGTTATCGTTACTACTACCATTTTTGTTTTTTTGTAATAGTCAAGCCAAAAGTTTCTTTTTTTCAATTTTGAGTGTTGTGAAATGGAATTTAACAATGATAAATAATGTAATGGAAATGCTTTAACGGCTTCTCGGGAGTATCAACGTAGATTTTCAGACGCCAACCTACCCCAAAGGTTTTTTCATTTCTAAGACTTCGGCAATATGGATTTGCTAAATTTCCCGGAGTTAGAGGTCATGGTGTCCGGCATATTGTTCAAGAGGAACTGGAAGTGATTAATTTGGCGTTGGTTGATCCTAGTACAAGCAATAGGCGGATTGCAGCCCAGTTACCATGTTCCAAAAGTCTTGCGTGGAAAATTTTAAATCGGGAAGTTTTACATCCTTACCATCAGCAAAATGTGCAATGCCTGCGACGAAGTGCAACGGCAAAATTTTTGAGAGTGGTTACTGCAATTGGATAATTAAAGTGCAGATTTTATTGATCGCTTTTTACGAGGACTGGAACCTTTAATTCTCATAATGAACATATTTGGTCGTTAGAAAATTCCCGTTCTGTAAGAATCTACTCGTTTCAAGACAAATTTACTAGAAATGTCTGGTGCAGCGTTTTCAATGGCCCATGCACGCATTGTCACAACGTTTAAATGCAAACTCATGTTTAGGTTTTCTAGAGAATTACATAGAAAATGTGTTAGATGATATTCCGTTAGCAACAAGAGTACGAATGTGTATCAGCACGACGGTGCCCCACCGCATGTCCGTCGTGACATAACCGAATGGTTAAATAATCATTCTAGACAAGCTTTATCTAATTTGTTTATTTTTTTATTTTTACGAAAACGATGCACTCTAGGCAAAAACACACAAGAGTAATTATTTGTAGTAGATTGAAGACTTTTAAATGTGCACAATACTTGGGTAAATCCACAGACCAAATTTTAGTTCATTCCAGTTGTGGTTTTGAAGATATTGAAAAAACTGTTTTTTATTTTTAAACTTCAACACTCCGTATCATTTTAATGAAGCCCTCGAGAAAAAAATGTTACATAGAAGACCCCCCTTAAAATGAGGTCTTGTGTATGATGTTTCATTTTTGGTTACGACTTGTATATGTATATGTACAAATATGCAAAGCCGACTGTTACATTAACTGTGCAAAGTCCCAACTTTGAGGAAACCCTGTATTAACAGTCTTAGTACGTGTATACGGACGTGAAAAGCGCTGAGCGCAAGTTTTACTTTCTAAGCCACTGGTCGAGGAAATTGTAATCGCGAAATATCTCAATTTTTGTATATTAGTGTATCTATACGCTCCCAGCGACAGTAATTCTATGCACCTATTAGCCATATTCCACACATAGGTTTCCCCCATACGACAGTACTGTCGTTAAATCGTAAACTGAAAGATGTTTTCCATATGCGTCTCGTTCTGCTATCCGAGCTACGCGCCCGGCATAACGGTCTGCTTGATTGTTCTGCTCGTACTCCGTCGGAGCTTCGTTGGGCGCTGCCGCGTCTGACGCTATGGTGAAGGTGCAACGTTTCCAAATGGGCGATAACTACCGGTAGGGCAGGGACCGACTCATAGTCCAAGGCGGAAGTGCTTGCCAAGATATTTGCTGCCAACTCCTCCATGGATGTCCCCCCAATGCCCAAGCCCAAGAGCCGTCGATTCAAAGGGTTCCCTACACTATTCAGGAAGTAACATTCAGGCGTAAGACGGGTGCTCTTGTCGCTCGACATCAACAAAGCTTGCCCCTTTTCTGTCGCGTCTCTTTCAGATATCTGATGAATCCGGCTCCTTCTCAGAAAACTGGAAATTTGCTCATGTCCAACCCATCAAAAAAAAAAAAAAACGATTTAAGACCGACCGTTACAACTTCAGGTCTACAGCTCTGCTTTCTGTTATAAGTAAGGTGTCGGAGAGGTGCATAAATTGCGAGCTTCTGGACCACCTCGAAAGTCACGGCTTGATTAGCGACAGGCAGTATGGTTTCCGGCACCACAGATCCACAGGGGACCTCTTAACTTACTTCACGAGTAAACTCATCCAGTCTTATGGGGAGGCTCATGTTATTGCTCTTGTTATCACGAGAGGGTCCGATCAGCTGTGGTTCAAGGCTATCTTATGCAAACGTCCATCCTATCGCCTCCCAGAGAAGCTTTGCAGATGAGTGGCTGACTTTCTCTTTGGCTGCAAGATATCCGTCGTAGTTGACATCACACATCAACGCGGGTGTTCCCCGGGATTGGTCTTGGCTCCGACACTGTTCCTCTTACATATCAACGACTTTTCCTAGCGCACATCCGGTTTCGATGGAAGACCGAGTTCTGCCAAAGAGCCGTTCATTTTGGCTGGTCGGAGTCAAGATCAACAAGGTATTGATCTGGCACGAACACATCTCGTCAATAGCTACAGCTGCTGAAAAAAAGCTAGGCTATTTGTTTAGGGCTAAGAAGTACTCGCTGGATGACCTCACTCTATACAAGGCTCAGAGAGGCCTAGCCTCAAGTATTGTTCAGACGTTTGGGGTGCTCCCGCCTCGACTACATTATCTATGCTCTATGCTGTCCAGAGAGTGCTGTCTGACTGATCGATGACTCTTTTCTAACAGGTAGTCTCGAGACCATTTCGCACCGGTGGGCCGTCGACGATCTAGCTCTCGTTTACCGCTACACCAACGGGCTGTATTCCTCAGAGCTCTCCTCTATGATGGCGGCGCCGCGTGATGTGCCTGCCAGACAGACCGGTCTGACTAGGGCCTAACATCCTAACCGTGTCGACCTTCGCACATCCAGAACTTGCCTATATGACCGCTACCTTGTTCCGAAGGTCTCGAGATTGTGGAAACAATCTACAAGAGGAAGCTTTTCAAAGTTTTACTAACGTTAAGCAGTTCAAAAATCGGATTAACAAAATTTCTTTGGGATCCTCAAAGCAGCCGTGGTGTCCTGGCATTTAGGCTTCTGCCTGCGCGGCTGCTGCGTATGAAAAAAGAATGTCTACGGACTAATTGTATGGGCCTCTTTAACTAACTTGATCGGCTTAATTTGCTCAGGAGCAGCTGCTATACATACAACGTTTGAGTCACGAAGTAGCTGTGGTGCGACATATTATTCGCATCGTTCAGTCTCCCGATTCAGAATCCATTATAACAAATTTGACGCAACCATAACCAAAATTTAGTCTCAGACGTAAAGCAGTATACTCTCTTTTTCACAAGTATCCGTATTGCGTCAAAATAATAGATTATCTAGTAATATTTCAAAATACGCCATATGGATAAGTGACAATAAGTCTGTCGGATCCGTCAACGACAGGTACTCAGAGCCATATTTTTTTTTTTGTAAGCTACGAACTCATTTGTGCTTACTGACAACTCTTTCCTTGGAATACAGCATCCCACAAACCGGCGCGAAATATTCGCTTTGGCTGCGAAAATTTCGCGGCGATGAATTCGCGATCAGATTAAAACGCGGCGGTTTACGGACAGGCTCAGACTTGTGCGAAGCGAATGCGATTGTTCCAGCGTTTTTATCGCGGCGTATTTCAGTTCGCCTTTGACCGCGTTTTTGACGCCGTTCTTCAAAAATTCGCAATGGCAAAAACGGAATCATTGATAGAAATAGTGAAAAAGTATCCTTGTTTGTATGATTTGTGGAACGATGAATACAGGAATGTGAGAAAGAAAGACAAGATTTGGATGGAAATAGGAACAGAATTAAATACAAATGGTATAATATTTTTTATTAACTTGTTAAATAATTTACAGTCTACACAAATGTGAAAACGAACATTCTATATATTGGGCATAGGCATATCAGAATTAAAATAATTTACGAATTTGTCACGAGTAGAAAATGCTAGCCTTGCTGCCCGCCGAGGATCATTTGCTATATCAGTAAAAGCTCCAAGCACGGGTTCTGAGGGATCTAAGAATTGAAAATATTTGTCATCGCCTCTTTTACTTCGTAAAAAATTGTGTAAAACACATGCCGTACGTACAATTAGAATAGTAGTATCTACTTTAGTTTCTAATGGCCTGTAAAATATTCGCCATTTTTGAAACAAAATACCAAACGCATTTTCCACGACCCTTCTAGCTCGACAAGTCTTACATTGTATTTCTCTTTTCTGACGTCTGTTAAAGTCTGCTTATAAGGAAATGGTCTCATAAGGTATGGTTTTAAAGCAAATGCTTCATCACCAATTAAGACGTACGAGCAGATTTCATTTTGCCCAGGGAGAAATCTAGGTGCAGGGACACTCATTAAATTTTGTTCAAATCGTTTTCCCATGTTTGAGGTTTCGAAAATACCCCCATCACTATTTTTTCCGAAACCACCAATATCAACACATATAAATTTATAGTCCGGGCCAACAATGACCATAAGTACTATTGAATATTTATGTAAATAGCACCAGTAATTGGAGCCACTGTTGTTAGGTCTCTTGATTGTTACATGTTTACCGTCCACGCTGCCAATGCAATTGGGAAATCCCCATCTATTTTCAAATTCTTCAGCACATTTTTTTCATATATTCTCTGTTGATTCTGGTAAATATATATGCTCCATATGTCTGCATATCGCTTAACAGACTTCGGTTACGATTGCACTCACTGTTGTAAAGCCAACTCGAAAGCTATGCCCAATGGTATAGAAGGTGTCACCAGTGGCAAGTGCCAAAACGTCATCTAATGTGAAAGATATTGACGTCATACATTATGAGACTGCCGAATTTAACTCAAATATATATCAGGAAAGGTCTGGAAATGTAGAAACCGAAAATTTGGAAGACCGCGGCCATGGAGAAGATGAAAATGCTGATGTAGATGCAGAAGATGCACAGAACGCCTCGGCAACACAGACAGCACCACCTTCTTCATTGAACACTACAGCAGTGACTACTCCACGGCACACCTTTCCGCAGACTGCAACTACACCAAAATATAAAACGAGCAGAAAACGCTATGAACCACCATCTTCGTCTGTACAACAGCTCATTAATTATTTTGAAGGTAAAAAACCTAAAAAAGAGAACGTGGCCATTGATTCACTTTTCTTGGCACATGCACAGACTGTGAAAACACTTCCCTTAAAGCGTCAAGCCCGAATAAAACTAAAAATAGCCGAATTAATAGCGCACGAAGAATTTGAACATATTGAAGAAATGTCTTCAGCGTCTACCCAGAATTCTGCAAGTATGTATGATAGTAGTATGTCGTCCTTCCCAAGCGGCACTGGGTTTGCTCCAATAATATACCCAACAGAGGAGGCAAATTCTGCCTCGAATTATTTAGCAACATTTAATCCTAGTGGCAACATGTAGTCCAATTATTACAATAAAATATTTATTTCACGATCCCTGAACTTTTCGTATTCGATAAGCCTACTAATTTTAATACATATAATTTTTTTACCTGAGTGTAATAGCAAGTCGTTCTTCTGGCGAAATAGCTTCACGATAATTTGTGTCAGATTTTCGTATTTCATCTTTCACCAAGTTCAATATTTCATCGAAACACTCTGGAGTCATTCTAAAATATACGTAAAAGCGCTGTTCATCCAGCCGAAGTTGTGGCATCAAGGTATGGTATTCCCCAAATTTATCTCGTTCCAAGTTAATATCATGTACCCACTTCCTTCGTTTCCTAAACAAAATTGAAAATATTGTTTTATGTACTTCGTTAAACTTTAATACATACCCAACTATCAAATGGCCTTAAATAAACATAACTTACCGCGCATTTTGGTCCTCTTCTAAAGCAAGAAATAGAAGTGCCTCCTCTTCTGTCTGAAGACGAGCTCATTGCAAAAGGCAAAATAAAATGCACGCAACCTGTCGAAACCTTCACGTTCGCGGAGCGAATAAGACGCTTTGGTATGAATAAACAGGCGAAACAGATGCGAATTTCGCTCTGAATTTCGTTGCGAATACTTCGCCGCGATTATTTCGCGCCGGGTTTGTGGATGCTTACAACAAAAAAAACGTACACGCAAATTGCTGCTAATGGCCTTGACGACATTTGAAGTCTGGTAGTAATGAAATGAGATAAACAGTTTTTAATATTGTTAGTCATATCTACTTTTGAGTTCAATGAAACAGCCATATTCGAAATACGTTACGCTGATGATGGACAATTAACAGAAACGCATATCTATATTACTTTTATATGTAAAATTACGATACTGGAAAGGACAAAACAGTCCTGTTCTTTTTTTGTTCTCTCAATTCGTAATAAATCATTTTTCTATGTGTATTGCGTATACTGTCAAAATTGCCAGTCAATAAAAGTATCTAGATATGTGAACAATAGCTCTGAATATTGTGAATTTTCCAGATTTACACCCGATTCATTATTGCCATCTTTACAGACTGGTGCAACGATTTCTTGCTGATTATCTGTTCAGCTCAGTAGATGCCAAAACGTAATGGATATTCGTAATAGGGTTTAGAGTGTCTTACGAAAAATCTAGTTACTCCAAAATTGCACCATTTGGTGCCAGTGTGGATGGTTCTGTAAATGAAGTGACAGTGCCTGTCGACCTTTACAGCGGGCTCAATGCTTTCGGATGCTGACCCATTGACGGAGCTCTCCTCCATATAGCAATTGCCATTTACCAGATAACCGACGTTACGGCGAGCGCTAAAAGTGCAACATTGTTAGCCTCCATAACTTGTCATTTAGGGATCGTTCTCGCCTCCAGTGCGACCCGACCGCAGTCTTGTTTCGGCACATTTATTCAAATACAAGCGTTTACAGCAAATAGTCGGCACGTGACCACTTGCTCACGGTTGCTACCACTGCACAGTGATTCCCCTTCCATACTAGGGCGGCTATAATACACAACTGTAGATTTTAACCTTTTTCATTGTATTTTAAACCTGAACATACAGTGTGGACAAACATGAAAATACAATTTATAAATTCTTTTTTAGAAAAAAATGCTAAGTAGGGTACTAAAAATGTTTTCTCAGTATTTGTTGTTTTAGATATTAAGATCAACCTTATATTAAAGAAATAAAATAAAACAGTTCATAATAAGGGCAAACAAGATATATTGAAAAAATATAAGCCTCAAATACTTATAACATTATATGGAAACAACTAACTTTACAAATCCAACATAGATTTTGAGAATATGTCCTTTTTTAACAGGTAACTTTCGTAAACCACTACCCTCCTTAGAGTACCAAAAATCAAAAATAGTCCTTCTCGAAACAGAATACTTAAAAAGTTTACCTAAAACAACAAAATTGTATTTGGAAAACCTCTTTTTTCTGAACTATGAACATATATGGTTCGGCACCCTCACAATCTAAGAAGGAGCAGCAAGATGCAGAAGAAACCTATATGCCCCTAATCTAGACCTTCTCTACTTTAAGATAACATTTATCTCAGCGGCAGCAAGGCGCAGCCAAAAGTTTATAAAACTCGAAATGAATTAATTTGTAGGAAAAAATCTAGCAAGCAGAACTTTCAAAAAAAAAATTATATAAAACTCCAAGTCGAATGTTTTTTCATAAAACAGGTAAATAATAAGAATACATACCATATCCTTGTACCTCCATATTATCATTACGTGAAAACACTAGGCTTGAAAATTATAATCCACAAAAAAAGTGCAGTGACTTACACATCCCGGTATTTAGACTCGAGAAGCTGTCACTTGCGATGGACGAAATGTAAATGACAGTTTGAACTAATTGCATTGTTATTCGTATTTTTTAAAAGTCTCGCGCCTACTCGATAACTTAGCGACTCATTTAGACCATTATAAATTCATGAGTTTTTGGGATTTTTGGTCTATGGAGGAATCACTGTACACTGCCATCGCTAGTCAGTTTGCAGTTGCGCATGAGTGGATTGAAGGTGGCATCTGTGGATGTCATTATGACACTCTAGCTAATGTTTCGGTCTCATTCTCAAAAAAAAAAAAAACAAATATCAGAAAAGTAATTCTCTATTGTGCTTTTGTGTTATTAAAGTGATTCAGTTAGAGTAGCAATGCTGAAAACATTCCAGAAGAGCTACAATCTACAATTGATACAAGAATGTGACAAGCCACTTCGTCTAAAAGTAATCATCAGACTCAAGAAATATGTTTGCTTAGAAAATATTTCTTTCCGCAGATCATGCATTACACATATATCTGTTTTGTATTTCTAGTTTCTTTTTAGCGAAAAAAAATACTAGAAGTGCTAATTGATTGATCTGGATAGATTTTTATTTGTGAAGCATTCAGGGTTTTCGAAACCATTTTTTTAATTTATATTCCGTCTTCTTTTTAGTAAGTTTACAGTCAGTACCTTTACCCACAATGTGACAAGGTGACTGGCAATTGCTTGGATGTTTCTTTGAATGAGAAGGCAAAAGCAACGCAACCGAAGTCAAAGTCGATTTGAAATCACATTGCCGTCGTGTCGCTTGTGGTGCGAACTATGCTTAAAGATGAAATAGCGACTATACCAAACTCCTTAAATAAAACACCATTACAGGTATAGTGATCCAGATAATCCTATTAAGAAAAAACTGATTCAGCCCATACCAGCATATGAGAATTGGGTAGAGTGCCAGACATTATCAGAATTAGAAGCTATCAAACGTAACAGTAACGGCCTTCATATGGAAGCACTCACTATCAGAGAGCGTGTCCTAGGATCCTCAAATCCTGAAGTTCCTCAACCTATTATCTACAGGGGAGCGATTTTTGCAGATAATGCTAGATTCGATAGGTGTTTAGAACTGTGGCTTCATGCATTGAAACTGAGGTAATTACTTTCCTATACCGCGCCATTTTGGCGAGGAAGTATAGTAATTGCGGAACACTTTAAAATCAAAATATTATTTTTGGATCTCATATGATTTTTATAGCATGCGTAGTTTTGACCTTCGCCCCTTTCGACGAAAATTTGCCCCACAAAAAGCTTTTGAGGTTTTGAAAATCAGTGCAAAGCGAAATACTGAAAACAGCCCATTCTCAAACGTCTTTTTCGTGAATATACTTTTTGTGCGTAGTAATTTCTTCTGGGGGGTCGAAAAAAAAACTGTTCTAGTTTTCTGTTCAACAAAATTTTTATAGCAATGCCTAGAATGTTCTTACGTCTGAAGCTTTAAATACATTTATATGATATACACAATTTAGACTAGATATGGCTATATTAGATAAATGGATTTATGGGGTTTTATACAATTTTCACCTATTAAAATGAATGTACAATAATTCCTTGCTTAATTTTGTATTTTTTGCAGGCAGAAGAATTATGTATCAGTATCAAAAGATCTTCTACGGTTTGCACAAGTCTTCTCCCAAATGTTGCATATTGGCACCAAGGTATCCCATAGCCATGTGATAGAGGTACTAGGCTGGAGCAATTCTGGAGTTAGAGAGGAACAAATCAAAACTGACTAAGCCTGGATCAAAGGACGACCCAGAAACAGTAATGGTAATATGCTCATTTATCCAGGCATTGGTTAGTACAAATTGACATGTAATATGACAAAAGTTTACTGTGGCTTTTGTGATTTTGAGTGAAATGTGTGTGCGTGTTTCGATGCTCATTTGTGCTTGCCATGCTTATGCTATTGTTTGGTACAGGTATACATATGCTACATTAGGTGGATCATGAATCCCTTGCTTAGCAACAAAATTTAAAGGTCGTCACAAAAATGAAGGAATTATTCAAAGTAATAAAGTGATTAAATAACCCCTTCAAACCCCATAATTTGGCTTTATTTGACATCTGAAATCATTGTGGGATGGATAAATTTATTATTTGTTATAGATAAAACACGTTTTATGATATTTAGTCTTACAATATTCGATTGCTGATCACAGTTATGCCTGTATTTGTTGCATATGTACAACACTTTGTACTTTATCATTGTATTTATCCATTTACATATTTATTTGTATTACTAAAATTCGTTAATTACAAATCACAACACAATAATAACTAATATTTTGCGGAAAGTTCATAACCGTTAGTACAATCTTTCAGAATCTATCAACATAAATTAATTACTTAAAGTATTTACTCCACGGAGCACCATTATGTCTCACTTATAGTTTTGAGTATTCTATCTATTAGGACGGCAGTATCATTTCACATATTGTAAAATATGTCGGATCTCGCTAGAATGTGGAATATTTCATATATAATGGTGGTTTCTTACCCCCTTTTGTTTTGAGTGTCCAACCATTAAAAAATTAGCAATTGTTCAATTCCTTGTCTATTCAATTTCAAGGATGACATAGAGAGCAACTGGATATCCACCCTGTATCTGTTAACTATTCTCACAAGCTGTTGAAGCAGTGTTCAGAAGAAGAAAAGTTCAACATTGGTAGAAGGGTGTTCACACTGAATCAACTGCAAGTGACACTTAGAGATGGTCAGTCTCTGCTCACCTGGCTTGCAATGCTGAAACGCCGGTTGATGAATTCCACACCAATGATTCTGCAAGTAAGTTATCGTTTTTATAAAATTTGTTGTTCCTATAGGCTGCGCGCAGTTAGAAACTATATTTGCTCATCACAGAAGACCATCATGCTGCGAAGGGTAAAGATAATTCACGATGGCTCTGCTATGGATCGGTTGAGCATGGAACAGTAATACTTTTCGTTTCACAAGCATTTACGGACTGCGCTATATTTTCTTCTCGAAATGGCGGCTACGTATGGACATTAATCAGTAGAGATTTCCAGCTAATAAGAGTTCAGTAATTCATACAAAGTTATCTTCCTATAGGTTTCCATGCGCGGATACGACCAAACTGCTGATCAAGTGTGGCGCTGACGTGAATGCCATGGACGGTGAGCGCAACACGCCTCTTCACGTGATCGTCAACTATCACAAGGCCATCTCCGATTTCATGACGCTTTACACGATCATCACTGCGTTGACGGACGGCGCGCTCATTTGGATTGCGTCAACGAGCGGGGGAGACGCCGCTGGACGCGTCGGCGACAGGTAGTAAGTTGACACACAAGTCCACACTTCTAGTTGGACAATATGAAGAATCTTTAGGTACGGAGAGACGAGAAAAATGAAATGTTCTATGCTCTCATGCAAATTTGTTCATGACTTATCGTATGACGTGTATACCATGCAGAAGTCTTGAGAGCAGTATCTGTTCCTACAACCCTTTGTTAAGCCTCAGTTTTCAAATTTGAAGGGCTAGTGTACGAAAGCATATCAGGGGACAGTAGTGATGTTGCGGATATTCGCATCTGCAATTGCGTCCCGCATCAAGTTGAACATCTACAAGTTAAGCAGGCTCATTGGGTCGCTACATTTGATTTTTCGGCGATATCGCTTATTTTTATTGGTTAAAACAATTCTCTGGAATCATGTTTGAACTATATTTGACGAGTGATTATTATACTTGCAGGATATTGTTTTTTTTTCTTATGTTGTAGCGTCATCCTCGCGAAAACTATTCTAATGCAACATTTTAACGAGAACTAATTTGTTCGTCTTAGTTTGGCACCTTGCAGTAATAAAGAATAAAATAGGATCACTGCGCAAAATACTTTAAAAAGATGTACATTTAATGCGATTTTCAGGATGATATTATTTTATGGCATGTTGTTGGATATTTTCTTTCACGGCAATTGGATCGTCTTGTTTCTTGAATATCAATAAAATGCTTTTATGATACAAATAGGGAATAACGGACAGGATTGATATTATGGTCATTTTTCATTAAATTCTCTTGACTAGGTGTTCAATGCGGCCACCATTAGTCCTTATGCATGCCCTGCACCTTTTATTAAACGATCTTTTTAGTTTGCGATGATACCACACTGTGCGAGGGCCATCTGATTTCAGCACGTACTGTGTTACTAAAATCACCCCTGTTTGAAAGATCATATCTGTAAGGCAATCCCAAAAAGAACCTCGGTAGCTCGGTGGTCGGCGCGTTGAGTTAGCGGTGGTTCGAATCTCCGCCTCGCAATTAATTTCTTTCCATGGATTTTGCGTTGTCTTTATCACGCACGTGGTGCAATATTAACAGATACATATGATCGCTGGAGCTAGTTTATTATATCAGTTTCTAGTAGATGACTCTTGGAGAGGTAGACAGTGTAGGTACTAGTGGAGATCTTAGTGGCTAATGGATAGGACCAAGGCGTCCGATCCACTTTCCTCGAGAATGTTTATTTCTGCTCTATAGATGTTGCAATTTTTATAATGATTTGATTAGTACCTTCTTATGTTATTTAGTATTTTTATATTATCTTTGCATTTAAACAGAATCTTCACCTACATGTTCATTATGACCATATACTGACACATGCCAACAAGTGCTATAGCTACTAAACTTTTATCATACGAATTAAGGGCGTTTTTATTACTAATATGTAGAGCATTCGCTAAAAAGGTTTCCTCATTGATGTATTTTTACTCAGTTGAAGATATCCCATTCGACATCCTGCCTCATATCGGGTATTCCGATTCTTGAATCAGAATCCATCAGACTTTTTTCTTGGAATTGTTAGAAAACATGCTGTATCACAGAAGTGTTTTCTATAATATAGTTGCGTTATAAAATCTGATAGGGCACCAAGGAAATTTTACATAGGGATTCTCACACAAACTAAGGTATTCCTCTGTTATTAAGAGATCAAGGGCACGCATAATGGCTACTGGCTGAATACGCGCTCTACTGAATATAATAAAATTACTATCATAAAGTCAATCAGCCATTACTTTTTCTTTATAGAAACTTGACTAACTCGAAAAAAGAAAAATAGCAAACATAATGTTGGCCAATAGTGCCACTGTAAAAATGACATTAATCAATTTTTTTAAGTATTTGGCAAGGTTATCCTAGCCGATTCTTTGTTACTACAGGGTATCAAAGTCAAGACATATACATTGGTTTTCATTGAATTGCTGCATTAGAATAATTCCCATGTGGATTTCCCAATAATATAAGAATTAAATAATACTTAATTCGATTAAACAATCAATTGTGGATATTTTTGAACAAACCCGGCTCAAAACATTATTTGTAGGAATGGCAACCATTTAACTAGACGAGTGTCGATTTTTGCTAAAAAAATTGATGTATATCTCGAAAACCATGAGTCTTTTGAACAAACAAAATGTTGATAAACAGTTTCAAGATCACTCAATGAAAATGTATAGATCACCACCATCTGTGCTACTAGTTTCCGAGATTTTAGGGGACGTCGGCGACACCAATGGAATGTTGACGATTGAGAACACTAATTTGCAGTAACGAAATATTTGATTATATGATGGGAATAATAACTAACAATCTTTCACATGTGCGATGCGAGATTTCAAAAACCGGCAACCACGAAAGTAAAAAAATCTACATCCGCAACATCCCTGGGGAATAAGCGTCGAGGCAATGTTAAATGTATATATAGAATGAATGTTGCTAATCCCCATGATTGCCTAGCTGATCAAAACACTAGTGTTTGAAATTCTTCTTTATTGTATATATTTCGGTCCCAGTAAATATATACAAAAAAGTGTCTTGTATTAAATATCATCGTTGGGACCGAAACGTTTACAATAAAGAAGAATTTTAAAAACATTCGATTGGCCAGACAAACATGGGGGATTATCAGCATGAAAACCTCACGATAAGGTTCAGATGTTACAATTTACGTTGCATGAAGCATATTTCTCGTTTCTTCCGCCGCCGATGGTTTTTTATCAAGTCACAAGAATTGGCTAAAGTATATTGGAATTTAAGGTAGATAGATAGTTTGTTGACTTTACATCAGGCTTGAATTGTTTATATTCTATACCTTTGTTTGCAATTTGAATGATATTCTCGTATGACGTCAATGTTCAAAAGTAAACTAGACTTATAACCATCGTGACTGACTCTACTTGAAAGAATTATGTGACAGCTTCGTTTACATTTAATTCAAATTCCATAGACTGTTCTGTAATTGTGGCATCAAGATATTGATAAATCTAATCTAAATTTTTGAAAGGGTTGCTCTCATAATTCATGCACCGAGACAGACAACAGTACTTCGATGCGCTTAACACTTTGACGTTTATGCGTGCACCCACGTTAACTTCTAGAGAGTTTGTTACTGTCGCAATGTCAGTTTGAGTTGAGTGGGGGCAAACCAGAACGGTGGCGATAGCGATCGCGGTGGCGATCACCAGGCGGACTTCATGTCCGCCAAGCAATGCGATTTTTCAGCAACAAATTTAGTATCTTTAAGAGTATTCGGAATTAAAGTATGCAATGAGTGCACAGGATGTAGAAGAAGAAACTTTGCTTTTTAAATTATTGAATGTTTATTTATACATGTGCATGTAAATATATTGATTCTACTTCCGTCGCCTATTGTAGTCGCGAGAAATTTACACATTTTTTATTTTTGATAACATGCATTTTAAGGTACATGTGTTTTTATGAGTATGACAGTTTTTTGGCATCACACATATTTGCTACTACTCCTTAGAAAGAATAGAGCGGGGGCGTTTGCCAGCTCGTCGCAGGTGTGCGTGCTCCGGTTAAGTTATAAGCACCTTATTTGCTCTCCACCGCAATCGCTAACGCCACTGCGACCGCCACCGCTCTGGTTTGCGCCCCACTTTAAGCATCAAACAACTACATGCAGGAGTGCGTTTGTAAATCACTTGGTAATGTAATACCGTACACTTTAACGGAATGTAGAATCCCAGATGAAATCTTACTCAGGAAGACTGTGAAACTTTATATTTAGAACGCCTAAATTGATACGGGGTCATGAAATGACTCTTGATGACAGCCGATTAGTTTCTGACCACGTTTTCTGCAACCATAGTATTTATTATAAGAAACATTATGGGGATACAAGTTAGCCCACTTATCGTGAAATATATATATATATATATATATATATATATATATATATATATATATATTATATATATATATAGGTGAAAAATTAAAGCTTCCGCCTTTTGTTGGGTACTTCGACCAAATTTAAGCAAAGAGGACTCTTTATACTTTTTTTAATTCTCTCTAGCTTTCAATGGACTTTGCCATCATCATCAGGAGAGTAGTATGTGAGGTGTTGCTAATGTTGTTTTCGTATAGGATGATGGGAAACGTCCAGTAACATGGTGAGAGCTGATCATGGTACAATGGTTCTTATATCTAATATGACAAGCCAGTTGTATCCAGCTCTCACCCGTTCTGGCCGTTTCCCTCATCCTACGCCAATTGCAACCCTCACTCTCTCCTCACTCCTGATATGATGGCAAAGTCCATTGAAAGCTAGAGAGCATTCAAAAAGTATAGAGTCCTCTTTGCTTAAATTTTGTCGAAGTACCCAACACAAGGCGGAGCTTTAATTTTTCACCTAACTCGTTTAGACGACAATGACCACGTCTCAAGTTATATATATCGATAATATATATCTATATATAGATATATCTATAATACTACTACTATAAATCCGAACACCCAGTTTTAAATGGTTTTTATATTTAATTTTGTATAAGTACTTAATGCAGATAGTATGTTATCGAAATGATTGCACTGCTTTAAGGCGCTCCG